TCAGCTTTATCTCTCTGTGAAGCAAGAGGTGGCACACTAGGGGCTACTGCTAATGGAGTTGCTGGGATTAGCTTATTCACAAATATTTTTGCTCGTAAGGCTCGTTCCAAAGCTTCACTGTATGTCTAAGGGGGCTGGGCATCGACCATCACATCTTGGGCTATTTTTGGTTTCAGCCCATGCACGAACTTATTCCTTTTCAATTCTGGTGTACTCACTATACCTGGCGCAAACCTTGCCAGGGAATTGAATTTCACTAAATATTCTTTCACTAAGCTAGCCCTTTTTTGCAAACTGATAAACTCTTGAATCTTTTCATGGACTCGATCAACTATTTATATTATGCCTCAAACAATCTTCTGAAATCTCCCCAGGTCATTGAGGCTATATCATGAGTAACCTCCATAAATTCCCACCATATATGGGCATCACCCCTAAATAGGAAACTGGCATACTGAATCTTCTCTTGATCTGTCATAGGGAAAAGTGTCGTCGTACATTCCATTAATCTAAACCACTCATCTGCCACTATTGGGTCCATAGTACCCCTAAATTCTGACGGCTGGTGTTGACTAGGCAACCCATATTTCGGCTCAATATGATTCTGCATTATTAGGGGTACCGACCTCTCTCTCTCCTCTCTGGGGGTTGGTACAATAACTAGGGTCTCAACTCTCTCTGGTATAGAGCCTCCCCGATTCTCTACCTAGAATTACTGTATAATATTATGGATCCTTGCTTCATCGAGGACAAGGGGAGTAGATTTTGGAGGGTTGGAAGGTTCACCCTGTACTCATTTCCTTCCTACTGCTTGCTCGGGTTCTACGTCTCATCTATATAGCACCAACACTTTTAGTCAACTCAATTAACTTATCCACTACAAGTAAGGAAAGAAATAACTTATGGCGATCGGCTATGGAACATTAATGCGGCAGGAGAGGCACACTGTCAAATGCCAAAACCTTTGCTTTGATGTGGGCGTTACATAAGTTCAACCTATAATGTAATCATTGTTGTCCCAAATAGCAAAAACACGCCTAGAAATTCCTTTGGAACTTCTTCTGCCTTCCCATCATTTGTATCTTCACAAAAATTCCAAAACTTCAACTCACAACAACACCTACAACCTATTTCCTTTTTCAGTGGAAAACTATCTTCCTTACCAACATCCTTTTAATCACTTTCCTTTTATCCCAAAGTGCATTAGCTCCTAATTATGTATTTGGTGGAAGGGAAATAGGTAGAAATTAAGGTAGAGGAAAGCCTATATGCCAATTGTGCAACAAAGCTGGACATATAGCCTTACAGTGCTATCATCAATTTGATTTCAATTTTCAAGGAAATCATTCACATAGAGCTGCTCCAACAAGTTTTCCACCAGTTGCCTCTCAAAGGTTCTATGTGAACTCAGAATTCCAATAATTTTGGATATCCTTTTGATTTTTCTTCAGGAAATTATCATGATCTCTTTGGAAATTTGGCATATGGTTACTCTCCATACAATCCTTAGGGTTTATCACAATCAACTCCTAATCTACAAGTTGTTCACTCTCAGTCTTCTTCTCAGATCATCCAGGAGCTAACACCATTTCACAAGCCTTATATGCTACTCAACATATTAGTCCAAGGTAAGCATTAGATCAAGATTTGATATGGTATATGGACTCAAGAGCAACTGATCATGTCACCTCTGACATGAATCAGTTGCAATCCTTTAGCAGTTGTCATGGTTTAGCCAAATTGCAAGGTGGAAATGGTGAGAGTCTCTCTATCTCTCATATTGGATGCACCAGTTTATCAATTTTTTTAAGGAGCATATCTGTCCATTTAAAGAATGTCTTGTGTGTGCCTTGAGTAACTCAAAATTTACTAAGTATGTCTAAGATTACAAAAGATAATAATGTTATTGTTCAATTATCTTTGATGGTTGTGTTGTTAATGACAAAGTGTCCAAGATCATACTGCTTCGAGGAACACTTAACTAGGGACTATATCAACTTGATATACCTACACTACCCTTTGGACATTCTTCTATTTCAGATAATGTCATTGCTTTGAATACAATTTCAGATTGCTCTGGTAGTTCCTCTTCATCAAAGTTAGTCAAAGTTGCAATAGGGAATAATTCTTCAAAGAATAAAGAGAGTTCTTTAGATAGTTAGTCTGAGTATCATAACAAAGAATAAAATACAGCATCACAGTATCTGTTATTTGCAAGTTTCTATAATGTCAAAAGATTATAGTGATGATGTGTCTTTGGATAGCAAATTGTGGCATATGAGATTAGAACATCCTAATTCTCTTCCTTTGCAAACTATATTGCAACTTATGAATGTAAAATTATCCAAAAGCAATAAAGATTTTGTGTCGGTCTACTTATCCTCATTCTAACTCTAAAGCTAGTTCTCCTCTTGAGCTTCTATATTTTGACTTGTGGGGACCAGTTCCTGTTACTTTTGTTGAAGGTTTTTGATATTATGTTCATTTTCTGGATGACTACAACAGGTTTGTGTGACTGTTTCCTCTCAAGACAAAATCAGAACCCAAGTAAGTTTTTAAGTAGTTTCATAAGTTGGCAGAAACTTTGTTTGGAGAACCAAAATTAAAAACCTTCAATCAGATTAGAGGGGCGAAGATAAAAGTCTTCTTCCTTACTTGGCTACTCAAGTATTTATTTTAAACATCCCTGCCCTCATACTTATCAACAAAATGGTAGAACTAAGAGAAAACATAGGCAAATTGTGGAGATGAGACTATCCCAGTTAGCTCAAGCATCCATGCCTCTAAAATACTGGAGCTTAGCTTTTCAAACAACATTGTTTCTGATAAAGAGGTTACCATCCTCAGTTTTGAAATTTTACTACCCGTATTAGGTACTTTATAACTCAACACGTAATTACATTTCATTAAAAGTCTTTGGATGTATCTGTTATCCATATTTGAGGCCCTACAATAAACGTAAGTTTCATTTTCATTCTAATAAGTGTGTGTTCATGGGATACCGTCTCTATCACAAAGGGTATAAATGCTTAAGTCAACCTTATATAATAACTAGACTCAAGTATTACTAAGGTCAAACCTCAAGAACATATTCGTCCTTAATTAATGGCATATAGAGAGAGCAAATGACGAAGATAAAAAGATATGTTTTTATATTATTCAAAAGTAAATACGTATAAAAAAAATTGGTGAGACTATCTCACGTTAAGGCCCGTTCATCTATGAAATATCTGTTTCTTTTCATTTTCATAATGCAGACGTCCAACAAAATCTTACAAATTTTTTTTTGTATGTGTAGTATTACTCTTTTATTTTTTTTCTTTAAAATTCACACAAACGGCTCGTTTACTTTTCTTTGCATTTTTAATTTTTTGCTGAATTTGAAAAGAGAAAAGGGGAGATGAGTTGCCAAAGAGAGAATTGTGGATGAGTATTTGATATTAAAAATATAAGATTCTGAATTAATTTTTTTTGGTTCTCTTTCTTCCAATTTACTATATATATTTTTCTCTCTCTTAAAAATAAAAACTTTCATTTTAAATTATGATTTCTAACACAAAATTATAAATGAGAATAAAAAAAATGATATATCTAAGACAAACTTTTTGAGACAAACAAAAAAAATGGCACTTTGTAGGGGATTTATCAATTGTGAAAATGATAAATTTTGTATTTTCTCATTCATTCTTTTGTATGTTTTCACGTAGACATTCTGAATACGCTTTCATTTTTCACATTTTTCTGATAAGTTTTTAAACAAGCATACCAAACACATTTTTTATTTTTCACTTTTCTTAGTCATTTTCAATATTTAAAAAAAAAAAAAAAAAGCAAAAATGGATACACAAAATTCATTGAAGAAAACACTTTAAACGTTTGACACTAATTTATAATCATATAAATTCATTACCTTCAATTTCTATCTCAATTTCATTGGAATATTGCAATAAATCATAATTAAAATTTATCATGAAATCTTAACCTCAGGGTGCCATAGAAAGTTCTCAAGGTTGTGGCCCAATGAACAAAATCGAGTGGCCAGGAGGGATAAGCTAGCCAGTTGGGTTTTCATGGCATGTGAAGTGAAAGTGTGAAACTCACAAGTCACAATCACAAGTCACTCTCCCATCTTACCAAACAATTCTGACAAAGATTCCAACTTCCTACAAAACCACACTCAAATATCTTTTCACTTTCTATCATAATTCATGTGCAAGATTTAATGTACTGATTTTTGCTAACTTTATGGATATAATTGAATTGTATTTCAATGATAATGTACTGATTTTTGCTAACTTTATGGATATAATTGAATTGTATTTCAATGATTCTAATTTAGTAATCACTAGCGTTGTAGTCGGACATCAAGATTTAGTCATTTGAGTGGTTATTTAGAGGTTTTATGTTCGAGTCTTACAAAATGATCATTTATCATATTTGTTTCTTATTTGGTCCATTGAACTTATGAGATGTTCAATAAACTCTAAGAATTAATTGAGGTATATGCAAATTAGCTTGATAATCTCGATTATTAAAAAAATGATTCTAACTTAGTAATAATGTTACTAACATATATAACAAAAAATCCTGCTAAATATAATTTCCTAAAATATAATTTATTTATAATCATTTATATCAATTCAATAACATTAGCGGTTAATTATATGAAAGCTATCGAAACAAAAAATTAAATATAATTTTAATGAAATAATAAGTATGATAAAACTCTTAAATGGTTGTCCTAGGGTGACACGTACTAAAATTATTAGCAAACAAAATATTTACAATATTAATAATTTAAAAATATATATTTTAAAAAAAATATAATTTTTAAATATAAAATACATAAAAATAAGTAAATATTTATTTATTAGTGCTCTTATCTTACCCAACCGCTTCTTAAAATAAAAAATATCAGTCACAGAGTCTGATATTGCCCTTCGCCCCTTCTATAATTGGAGGTTACCCATTGTAACGTAAAGTGGTAAACGAACCTGTGTCACAAAACAGTCAACAATCAACATGTCCTCTTCACTTATTCTACTTCACACTAATCAATCAAACCCTGGCCATGTCACTCTCTCTAAGGCTCACTCCTTTCACTTCACCACCACAAACCCACCGCAAATTCCCCTACTTTTCTCCCAAACCACATTTTAAAAACCTTTCTGTACTCTCTCCAAGTCTAAGATGTCCACCCATTATCAGAAGTGTCCATCAAAGCCCTGAACTTTTGCCTGTAACTCCACCAAAACCACCCAGATGGGAAAGAATTTTGTCCACTGCAGCAAGCTTGTACCCTCTTTATGTTACTGTTGGAGGAGTTGTTGCCTGCTTGAAACCTTCTACTTTTGGTTGGTTTGTTCAGAGAGGACCGACTTCTTACAGCTTGTCTCTTGGGTTGATTATGTTGGCAATGGGACTCACTTTGGAGCTTAAAGATTTGATCAGGTTGTTCATGCAAAGACCTCTCTCTGTGAGTTTTGGTTTTGTGCTTCAGTTTTTTTTTTGCTTATTAGTTTCTTTATTTGTTTATTTGCTTGTGCTTGTGATTTGTACTCTTGAAGTGGTATGATTTGAAGTTAATCATTCAATTTGATTAGGAAAATGAGTTTCTTTTTTGAGCCAAATTATTTTTGCTGAATTATGTTGTGAGATACTTTGTGGATTTTGAACAACGGTTGTGTTGTCATTTTGGAATTAGAACTGATTTTAAGATAATTTGGAGCTTAAAAGCTTCCCAGTTTTTTCATGCAAAGACCTCTCTCTGTGAGTTTTTGTTTGAGCCCAGAACTTTTTATTGCTTATAAATTTGTTTGTATGTTCATTTGATGTTTTTAGTGCTGTTCTATCTTGTATTGGAATGGTTTTTAAGTTGGATCATTCAATTGATTTGGAAAATGAGGATCTTTTTGGTTCCAAAATATTTTTGTTGAACTATGTTATGTAATCTCATTGCCAGTTGAGTTCTTCTGAGGATTTTGAACAATTGGTGTGTATAAATTTTGGAATTAGAACTGGTTTTGAGAAAATGTATCATTAGAAAATTTGTTCTCAAAAATCAATTTTTTGATGAAATATATCTTACTCTTGTGCACCATTGAACATGTTCATTGTGGGAAAATTGGCTGTAAACTAACTATACATTGTGTGATCTGTTAGCTACCCCTAGTGTAATATGAGCTTTTTGGATACTTCTCTTTTTATTTTTTTCCCAATTTTCTGGAACATGTAAATATGTAATGATCATCTCAATTCTACTTCCATTTTTGATACCATGTTCTATCTATCTTTAGTGATGATGCATATCTTGGAGCTTTGTTGTAAAAAGCACGTGCTTGTATCTTATTTTCTATACACGATTTGCAAATGGACATGATCTAGTTCGAGCTTATAGTTTTCTTGTTTTCTACTTCTGGTTAGATACTCTTTGGGTTTGCTGCCCAATATACAATTATGCCAGCTTTTGGAGTTATAATTAGTAAAACCTTGGGGCTTCCACCGTCACTTTCAGTTGGTTTGATTCTGCTCTCATGTTGTCCAGGTGGTACTGCCTCCAATGTGGTAAGAGTTCATACACTTTTGTGTTGATCCTACTCTCCTTTTTCATCAATATCTACTCTGAGTACATCTGGAAGAACATTTGGTTGACATTCGAATATCCAAAATAGAATTAAGATTACCAGTTTTCTCTGTATGGTATTCAAGTGATCACTTCCCCTTTCTCTCTGTTTTTGCATGTCATGGTTTATTGTCTAGTACTTATTGTTCCAGTAGTCTCATTTACCTATTTTGTTTGCAGTTGAAATGCATAGCATTTGAACTAGAGAAACTGGTCAAACCCTGTTACATATATGACCAAAGATATAGTAGTAAGCTTCATCTTTGGGTACTACCATGGTTGTTTGTCGAGATTTCTGAATCTTTTTCAAAATAGTCTATTAAGTAAAGAGCCAAGAGATATTCTGAGACCATATTAATCAGCTCAGATACTGATTAGAATTAGTTTCCAGTGTATATTGCACCCCCAACATGGCTAGAATTCACGTGTCATTTTAACATATCTGATGGTCATGGGCTTTTATTGGTCTAGAAATTTAGACAAGTCAATTGTGCATAGCTCATCTCAACTTTGAGCTTCTCTTTGAGATTCCTTTCTGCCATTTTACCTTATCCATTGTCTCTCCCATTAAAAACCGCATACGGCATTTCTTCTCACAGAAGAAGATCATGGTGTCTTTTCTTAGACTCATTATATCAGATATACTATCAAACTGAACCACATTAGAGCCTACTAGTGTTATTTTCTTGCCATGCTTTAGAGTTTAAGCTGCTTTTGTAATATTTACAGACCTTAAGTCAATGTTGTTATGATCTGTGCCAAGTTTTGAGTATGTTGTTAAAGCAACTATCATTCACCTAAATTTTGTAAATTTGTTTGTAGAGATTTTTGAGAATGTTATTTTTCTGTTATGAAGAGTTGATGATTATTTATTAGAGCACTTGAATGCATGCCACAATGCCGAAAAGACGTCCATTCATTTTTTATTTCAATGAAGTTGTATTACAGGTGACCTTAATTGCTCAAGGGGATGTTCCACTATCTATTGTAATGACAATGTGCACTACACTTGGAGCTGTACTTCTCACTCCTCTTTTGACAAAAATCCTGGCAGGAACATATGTTCCGATCGATGCTGTTAAACTTTCCATCAGCACCTTGCAGGTAAATTTTCAACATATACTTCACCATAACTCATTTAATATTTAGCAAAATATTCACTTTTTTGCGGTATTATGGTGATTGTTACTTCTGGTATAGGTGGTCGTTGCTCCAGTTCTACTAGGTTCATATATGCAGAGCACATTTCCTTATGCAGTGAAGGTTTTGACACCTTTCGCCCCATTATTTGCTGTTTTAGCTTCATCATTGCTAGCATGCATGTTTTATTTTTCGTCATTTAGTTTACTTTTGTGAGCATTGTACATAAAGATTCTAATGATATTAACATATTCATTTCTGGGTTTCTTCCAGTGTATTCTCTGAAAACGTGGTTCGTCTCAAATCCTCAGTGGTAGCTGCTTCATTGTCATCTGATCTATCTCCAATTTTCTGCATTCATTCTTTATTGTCTGGAGAGCTAGGAGTTGTAATGCTCTCTGTAGTGCTGTTGCATTTTACCGGTTTCTTTGTGGGGTAAGAGTAGCTTTTCATTTTTCTCTTTAACTATTTGAGGATTGTTATGCTTGTTTGTGTTTAGGCTGAGATTTACTTTTCAAGTTTGTAGTGATTGTGAACATGAATTTTACTTTTGCTTATCTTTCGCCTGATTTCTTTTTCCTAATACTACATAAATATTATGCAATAAACGCACATTCACATAGGTAACACTATCTTTAATACTTGTCGTTGCAGATTCAAATTTCTATATTACTTCTTCCTTAAATTTTTTGAATGGCGGAACAGACTTCCAAAATTGTCATTAATTCATTCTCATTGATGAAAAGGAAATGCTTAAACACAAATGAATATCATTTGTTTTTTTTTTTTCCTTAAATTCTCGTTACAATGGCTTCAGTACTCTCATAAATACAATTTTATTCGCATTTGGGAAAGAGCTGTACGTTTATGTTGTTTGAGGGAGACGAGATGGATTTCTTATTTCCTGTCTATTTTCCGTATGCAAGATATAAATTCTTTTAACAGATCCAATATTTTACAGCCAGTGACACGTATTATGGTCTGGTTAAGTAGTAGCGGAATACGATAGTTCATTGCACTCGAAAATGAGAAATTTGGTGATTACAATGGCCAAGACGGGTGTTGGTTTGTTAATTTAGACCTAAGCTTGCTATGCCTGCAGGGATACTTTTAACATTTATCATATATGAAAATTTTAGTGTTTTTTCTTCGAAGTAGTTAATATACAATTTATTGATATATGCCCTGCAGGTATCTTGCTGCAGCTGTGGGCGGATTCAAAGAACAGCAAAGACGAGCAATATCAATTGAGGTATATATAGTTCTATTCAACGTTAATCCATATCATTTATTTCTTTTCTAGCTAATTGAAATTGAATGATGATTATGAATGTGCTGAAATGAGAGTGAAATGTCAAAATATCGTATCTTTGTGGCATTTTTTTAGCTCCGACAACATTAATCATAGCAGTACTTGTAAATAAATTCTCATTACGTTATGCTTGTCACTGGCAGGTCGGCATGCAAAATTCTTCCTTGGGTGTGGTTTTAGCAACTGCTCATTTCACTTCATCAATGGTTGCGTTGCCCCCAGCCATGTCTGCGGTGATTATGAACATCATGGGCAGTTGTTTGGGATTCATTTGGAGATATAATGATCCTTCTGATTCAAAAGGTAGTCCTAAAATTGTTGAAAAGTGTGTATGAATCATGTAATTGTCTAATTGACAGCATCCAATAAGGTTATGTTTTCTCTTCATTGGGTTGATATATTAATCCAAGCTCTAATCGGATCCAATCCACTGTCGAAAACTAATTAATGGACAAACAAGTCATGACTTAGTTTGGCTCATAGATTTTGATTTGGTAACACTTCAAATATGAACTTTACTGCTGGGGTGCCACTAGGTAACGTTGCTTGATTCCAGAGTTCATATAGGAAGATAACGTTATCCTGATATTGTTAACAGACGGACCCAAAATTGGGGAGCCGAAACGCCATTAGTTATCACCCAAAAAGAAAAAAATAAAAACAATTCAGATTATTAGCTATTGTCTGTCTTGTTGGACATTGTTTTAAAAACCGGACCGGAGGGCAACCCGCTCTGATGGTCGGATCATGGTTCAACCGGTCTAATCGGTTAGACCGTCAGTTGGATCGGTGATGTCATCATACATCATGATAATGTCAACACATTTTTAAAAAACATTTTTAAACCACATAATAATATGTTTTCTTTGTTTCCTCATACATGAACCCTTTTTATATCTGACATATTTCTTTTCTGGTTCTCTTTTTAATCCATTTGTACATACGCTTACAAATAAGATCAATCACAGCCCTCCATTTCAGTATCTTTTTTCCTTTGTTTTTTCACACGTCAACTTTGCTTTTTAGTGTTCTTTTTTAAGATTTCGGTGGTGGTTAAACCAAAGTATATAATTTAGCGGATATGGTTGATGAGATCGATTGATAAAGAAAGAAAGAAAGGCTAACTGCATGAGAAACCAAAGTATATAATCGATTGATCATGCAACATACAGTTGTCATAAGTCCTTATTCCATCCACAAACATACAATAGAAGTAAAACATAAATATTCAAGTACGGAATTCAAATACATAATTTGGATTATCTACATGATGATTTTGGTTAAAGCAATATTGCACATGCAAACTTCAAATACATAATCTGGATTATCTACATGATGATTTTGGTTAAAGCAATATTGCACATACAAACTTTAAATACATAATCTGGATTATCTACATGATGATAATTTTACTTCTATCAATTTCGTCCCGATCTCACTGCTTCCAAAACCAAACTTCAATTGGGCATGCAAACTTCAAATGAAAGGATTATCTACATGATAATTTTGGCTAAAGTAATATTTGATTATCTGGAAAAGAAAAACAAAATCAAGAGCAGGAGCAGGGTGAATTCAAATACATAATCTGGAAATACATGTACATACACATAATCTGGAAATACATGCACATGCACATTGCTCCAGATAAAGTTTGCAATGAAATCATTATTGATTATTGAAGCTGGATTGAGGAATGACGTGTTTATTACCTGGATTGAGGAATGGAGTTGTCGCAGTCGATTTCCAACGAGGAACATAGCTGTCGTCGTCGATTTCTGGCGAGGGAGGAAGACGTCGTCGTCGATTTCAGAGAGTTCAGATGCGATTTGGGTGAGATTTCAGAGAGAACAGAAGACAGAGCCAAAACCGTGAGAATTTTAGCAGAGAACAGACAACAGAGACGAAGCCAATAAATTTTCGCAAAGAACATAATGTTTGCTGAGAAATTTTCGTAAGAAAAACTGAGAAAGACTGAAAGAGAAGAAGATGAGAAAGGGCTGCGTCGCGTATTAGGGATTTTTAATATTTGGATCGGTTTATCCACCGGTCAGGTTGGACCAGCGGTTCACTGATATTATCCGGTTTTCAAACGGCTTAAAGCGGCTTAGTGTATAATAACAGTTTTGGGGTTGACTCGAACCGACACGTGACTGGTTCTTGGTCCAAACGATTGGACCGGCCGGTCCGGTTCGGGTTTTAAAACAGTGTTGTTGGATCCTGTAATATGGAACATGAAAAGCACATAATAATTAGTTGTCATTTTCATTTTCGTAAAATATGTTTATAAATGTAATAACTCCTTTTTACTCATGTACTCATAAAATATACATAATGAAAATACAAGTAAGATAACATAAATTGTTGGGCCCAAATTTTTTATTTTATTAAATATATACATTCTTTATACAAAGTGAAGTATTTTAGACAAAAGTCATCAAAAATGTGGTGGACAGTGTAGCTATTTCTCCTCGCTTGCCAACGTCCATCCGACCGCGTCCTTACCTAGATCATGCAACACACACAGAAAACAACAGGGTGAGCACAAAGAGGCTCAGTAAGTAAACCCTCTACTCGTCTATCCCCGTAACTCTTTCTCTTAATTCTTTCTTTATACTCCTCTTCTCATTCAATTTCTCTTTTTGTTTCTCTTTCTCATAGCTCTTCTTTCTCACTTGAATATCACGACCTTATCTTGTCGGAGGCACAGCCAGGTGGAGTTCACAAAGCACCGACCCACTCTTCGTGACTTCTACTCATACTCTGCCGATCGGACTCGGTTATGCATGGGTTCGGAACCCTTGACCACGTGAGTGTATTTTCTCTCTCTCTCTCTCTCTTTCTCTCGTGTCACGGCCTCATCTTACCGGAGGCACAACTGGGAGATCACAAAGCACCCACTACTCGTGACGATTCTACTCATCACTCACGGGTTCCCCATCACACACCCTACTCTATTCTCTTGTTTAGCACTACTCTCTCTTTTATTCTCTAGTACTAAATCTCTCTTTGTCTTCACTCTTAGAGTTTTTCTCATTCTCTTTACTATTAGAGTGTTCTCATTCTTTTTACTCTTAAAGTAGCTTATTCTCAAAATTCTCTACTCTTTCTCAAGCTACTTCTCAATACACAATTAATGCATATGGATGATTTATATTCATTAATGCACTCATGAAATGCCAATATGCAATGTTGCAAGGTTTACTACTCATGCTCATACCTCTCTTAGGCATTTCATCAAACAACTAATGTGCATACACAAACTCTACTTTATCTATAACTCTACTCCTCTCTTTCACCATCCAAAAATGGGAGGAAACTCCCTCACATAGCTATAATTCCTGTCATAAAAGAACACTCCCAAAGAAATTACTCAATCTCCTCCAACTTCATCTCAAACTACATCATCATGCAATCTCAACACTTCTCATAATTCAATTATATTCAATAACAACATAGATAAATACTCATAACATCTCAATCTCTCAACAAGCATAATACATACATGCATAAAGAAATCTCTACTCAAAAGATTTCTTGAATCCCAACTTGGTTGGATTTACTTACCTTGTGGTGAAGTGATTCCACTATTACTTCTCTTTCCTTTGGTAGATGGTCTTTTTCTCTACAACTTTAAACAACATACTATAAGACTTCAACACATCTACAGATAAATTTCACATCTAAAGCAAGAATCCTTACCTCAGGATGCTTTTGATTAATTCTCTACCAAGATCCAACTAAAAGCCCTCAAAGATTCTTGAAAGATTGAAGGAAGAGTTGAGAGAAAATGGTGCAAGGGTATGGCAGTGGAAGAAGAATGAATGAAGGGTTTACTAAGCTTGACCCCTTTTTAGCTCAAGATATCTACATGCATTCCCATTTTGCCCTTGCTCTTTCTTAGAAATTCCATTCTTATCATTTGATTCATTACATATTTTCCATGAAATTTTCTTACATTTCAATCCCCATTTTGCTTGCTAATTAGGGGTAGAATGGTCATTTTGCCCTTAGGGAAAAATATCTAGAAGCTTCAACAAAAATCTCAGCCGGCTCTTCGCCACGGCGAAGCAAGTTCTTCGCCCTGGCGAAGACCATGACCTCAAAATTTGCCAAGTCTCAACCAATTTCAAGGCAAACACTCAATCAAACCAACCCATCACTTCAACCAAGGGCCAACCAAACAATATTAACAACTCAAATAAGGGCAAAAACAAAGAACATTCAAGTAATACACCATAAATTAGCTACGTACCTCAAATGGGGCGTTACAATAAACTAAAGTTGTTTTCAACAAGATTGGCTATGCGAAACTCAACAATGGTGACACAAAACGGTCAAAACTACTCACTCCAAATAGTTACTTTGAGCAAGTAATTGTAATATGCCAGGATTTTGATTAACTATAACAAACTCTTGTATCAAACTAAAGCAAGACATTAGTCATGTCTAACTAGAACAATCTTCAATAATTAGGTTAAAAGTAATACTATACCTACAAAATTGTATTAGAACTAATATGATAACATATTTAGCGACACCATATTTATTTGATCTTTCAATTGGTTGAGATCTACTATAGATTTGGAAATGATATATTGGATCAATTAATAATGTTAGTTATAAATTACATAATATATTAACATAATTTGTAAATTATATAATATAAATAGTATTATAAGATTGACAAAAATAATAGATTAGAAAATATTTGTGATAATATTTAATTTAATGTTCAATTAATAATTAAAGTAATAAATATAAATAAATTAAGAATAAATTTTTTATATAAATATTACTTGTCAATATATACTCATTATATCCAAATAAATAATATTAAATTGTACCATTAATATTTTTTTTGAACCGGACAATTAATTAATGTATATCCCCTCAATTGCAAATAAGTTTTTACGTTGAACCCAGATAAAGACACATACAATTTTGCAACTATTCCATTCATCTATTACGGTACACATTCAGGACAGTGCTCTTCTTTCTCTTAGCCTCCAACCAACCCACCCCAAACCCTAACTCTTATTATCAGATCGTCTTTTAACTTTACAATTTATTTTATTTCAATCCTTAATTTATCAAATCTAATATCATCGACATCTGATTTCAATTTTGTCCCTTTGCTGAAGAGGTTTACAATTACAAGTATGTGTAGAGTGTTTGACAATGGTGGGAGGCGGTAGCAGATAAGACGAATCGTTGGTTTTAAACAGTAATAATGTGTTTGCGGCGCTAGGAAGCTTGAAGAAGAAGAAGAAGAAGAAGTCTTCCGGTAATGAGCAAGGTTCATCCAAGAGCAAAACCAAACCCGCCGAGAAGAAGAAAGGAAATTTTGATGAATTGCTTTATAGTAAATTTAATTTGTAAGCTATGTGTTACCTACCTGGCCAATGAGTCCTGTATGAAACATCCATTCCCA